AATTCACATAATGTTTTCTTGATGTTAGCAATAAAGGTGTGTTGTCTTTGTTTTTGTAGCACTTTGGCTAATAGCCTTCCTCACTTCTCGCCTTGGATGTAATAGGAGTGGGTAGTTAACAAGAGTTTTGTTTTATGTGGGTAATGAGGAGTTGTTGTAGCGTGGATCTTTTCTTGGTAAGTTGTTTGTAAATGTCTAGTAAGGCATTTTGCTTATGAATATTTTCCAGTTGTCTAATTTCCTGAGAAAGGAATACTATTTGTGCTTCACAGAGTTTTGTTATGTTTGGAAGATATGGCGATCATATGACCTCTGATTACAGATTCATGGGCTTCCCACATGATCATAGGGGAGAGTGAGGGTAAGTAGTTTTAAGTGAAGTAGTGTTTAAGTGATTCCTTGATTTGAGTGACTGTATTTGGATTGTTGAGTAGGTGATCATTAAGTTTCCATTGGAATATTTAGAGTATTTGTTTGTCACAGGGGAAAAGTAGGAGTACTCTTTGGAGTCAGGGTGTGTAATACGCCAGGTGTAATAAAGTTGTGTGTTGTCTAGGAGGGTGGTCCTACTTCTTCTAGTGAAAGATTGGTAGGTGGTGGAGGGTGAGGTAGTGTCTAAGACTGAGTCTAAAGAGGTGTTGAAATCTCTTCATAGAATGAGATTGCACTCTGTAAATCGTTTGATTTGGAGATATTTTCTGAGAGAAATGCATTGCTTCTTGTTAGGGAGATATAGGTAATCATATTGGTACCAATTTGACCTTTAATGATAATAAGCCTACTGTGTCCGTCAGTTTGGTATTCTTTGTGTGTAAAGGGGACGTGAGCGAAGAATAGGATGGCCACTCCTCATGCTTTAGCATCTTTAAAATTGCTATTATACCCCATATGGAATCTGTTGTTGCTGAGGGAATATGTGGTGTCTGCCTTAAAATGTGTTTCTTGGATAAAAGCCATGTATTCCTTTAGTTTGTGTAGTCTATGGAGCACTGTAGATCATTTGATGGGGGATTTGAGACCTCTTAGGTTTACAGGTATAACCCTAATGGAAGCCATGGTGCTAGATATTGAGCAAGTAGGGAGTCTTGTCTGGACTCGTGGACAGTGAACATGATAACATAACTATGTACAGTATAACATAAAAAGGTAAGTAAGAAAGTGAGATATTTGTAGGTGGCAGGTTTGGTCTGCCAAACATTACCGCTAGTGAGGCCATGTTAGTTTGGTTGTGTCTGGGGGGTAACCATAAACAGGAATTGAATCTGATTGGACCAGCAAGCAGCAATTCTACAACGGTATTGAAATGGATTATAGAGACATATAAAGTATTCCGCGTACCCATGGTGACTGGAAAGATATCTACATTGCTTCCATGGATTGTGAGGTATGGTTGGTAGAAATTAAATAGGACATGTAAGGGGGGATGGGAGACTGACCTGAGTCATACTTGTGGAGTGGTGGCTATGTGGACATATATAAACATGTCCACATAGCCACCACACCATTATATATATATATACACATGTTATTATCTATCTACCTATTCACTTATTTACGTTTTTTGAATTGTGAAATGGGCTAGCTCTCACTCTGCTCCCCATCCACCACATATTTTGAAATCTTATGAATAATCATGGATTGAGAGAGACATATTGATAATTTAAAAAACAACCACCAATGAGTGTCCACGTAAAAGCACTCAGTATCAGATATAAAATTTCATATTTACCTATCCTGGACTAATGGGTATAAAAACGGGGCTCAAGCACATAAAAGTAAGAAAGGCAGAGAAGGAGAAAAACATCTGGATTAAAAAAGTGAACAATTTATTGTGCAGCAAAATTGAAAGTGAATACTAATACAACAAATTGAAATATACAGCACAGTGAAGTCCACAGTAAGCCCTATAGGTATGAAATGGTGTAAAACAAACTCCCTTGGTCGTGACTCCTGGGGGTAATCAATACCTATAAAGTTTTAAACAAGGATAAAAAAGTGTCCAAAGTCACCAAACTGTGGAGCTGTAAAACAATACTTATGATGCTCGGGGCGTTTCGTCTCCTGGTCATCAGGACTTCCTCAAGTATTGGAGTCTCTTCTTACTTGGAGTCTCTTCTGCCGATCTTAAATAACTGCATCTTCGTGCGTAAAGGTGAATAAACAGATACGCATATGGACACATACACTTCTGTGTGATCTAGCGCAACAATGTACTACCTAGCATCATGCTACGCGAACCCGGAAGTGTCCATTGCGTAAGCGTTTCACCTATAGCGCAAAACAAGTTTATTGGCAACCACAGCCCTAACATGAAACTGCATCAATTTTTCAATGAAAAAAGGTGTTTGTGGCAAAAGGTGTGTCACATAAGTTGCCCTATATCTGTAAGACCTGGGTATACCACAGATTAGAGCTATGTAAAAAACAATAAGTAAAAAAAGAGGAGCTAATCAATTAAAAAGGGAATTTCCCCCTAAAATTACAATGTATGTAACAAAAGTATTTGTGGTACACCTCACATTCTATTGTATTAAAAATAGAAAATAAAGAAAACATTTATTGAATCTACTTAAGGTTCAAAACAGGTAAACAATTTAAAACAAATGGCTAAAGAACCATCAAAGATAAAGGTGCATAATATATCATAGGAAAAAAAGAGAGAATCATAAATAATCCATATAAATAGCAATCACATTGATAAAATGTGAGAATAGATAAAACACTCCAATAAAAAAAGAAAAACATTGTATTAAAAATATATATATTGAAGACAGCAATTGTAACGGATCACCTGGCACCCCGACTGGGTACCTCCGTTGATGGATGCTCCTAGTGCTTCCCGAGGGCTCCAAGCACTCCACATGGCACCATAAGCACTGCAGACCCCACGAACCACCGCAGCTTGGTTGGGGTCTCACCGTCTCCTACCCACCCTGGACCTACGACAAGGCTCCAGGCTCCAGTGGGTGAACCTCTCTTCCTTCAGAGAGCGAAGCAGGAACAAGCTCTTTAAAGAGCATAGTGATTATAGCCAGGGGAGTATACAGCGTATAGCAATCCCCAGTGTAGATCCAGCCTTTTCCCCACACATGAGATGAGGCTCTATGTTGTGGGTAAAACAGGAATTCAGCAGTCTGAGGGTTTATTCTCTCTTATATACAGGTTTCCCCACAAGGTTACCACCCACGTGGACCTTGTGGTACACAGGATACAAAGTTGCAAAAAACAATCAGGACATACTTGTACATTCAGACACTCCCAAATAATGCACACAAACCCTCCCATCTGCTTGGTAGATAATTGAGCAAGATACTGTATTAACTCAATTTTCCCCAAGCAGAAAAACCAAATGTTTACACATTTCTCATAACATCAAAATTATACATTCAATTCACATAAAACTTAAATTTTCTGAATGGGCATAATTATGGGAACAACATATTCAAAAATCATAGCAATCGGTTCAGGGGTTCGGGAGACAGCTGAAAGTCACATTTGACCGACTGCAAACAAGGCTTTTATGCCCAAAACAGTTCCAGGGATTTAGGCTGTGCGGCCGGTCTAGTTCACATAGTTAAAATGCAGTTTGAATGCACGTACAGTAGCAGTTCGTGTAAATGTTAAAGTGGCGTTTGAATTGTAGAACGCCGTTCCACTCCTGCCGAAGCGTCGAAGTTTCAAGGAAGGTAAGGTTCAGCGGTAGGGTTCAGCGGTGTTCGTGCCGTCGCGTGTCCGATTTAAGTTCCATGAGCTCGACGGCAAAACACTGCTGACCGCGTTTGACTAAACAAGATGGCTGCCGCCACGTGTTCGCCTGTACGAATGGCGGCCTCTTCAACTACTTTGGCACTTTGGCTGCTTCTGAAGTGCCATTTCAAAAGTGCAAATCTTTTCCAACATTTAAAGAGGAAGAAACAATGTGTTGAAATCCAATATGCCCAAATCAAATTTTTAAATGACAAAACCCCCAGGGGCCATAGTCATAGGGCAAGAGGCTGGCAAGCAGGCCTCTCCAAAACTCAGGGGTGAGGTTATTTTCGCCACAACAATATTTATCCAAAAACATTTATTTCCAAAAATAGTTATATTTTCATAAAAATGCTAAAAAGTTCCAATCTGTATTCAAACCATATGGCATAGAGGTTTTAATTTGATAGATCCATTCTGTTTCTTTTCTCGCCAAGGCCCTTAATGTATCACCTCCTCCCCAATGTGGTATTATTCTGTCAATTCCTATACAAACAAAATCTTTAAAATTAAAACAGGGACATTTATGACAGTGTCTAGGCAGGCTATGTTTTTCACTGTTATTTCTAAGATCATATAATCTCGTTATAACAGGCTGACAAAGGGGGCAGGATCGTCATTATGGATAGAGAGATGTACCTCAACGAAACTTCCAGGATTTTAAAAGATGAGAAAACGTAGAATGTCTGAAAAGAAAATCTAAAAAGAAGATCGGGAGAAGAGACTCCTATTCAAGCACCCTGGCTCTTGAGGAAGTTCTGACGACCACTGGATGAAACACGTCAAGAAACATAAGTATTGTTTTATAGCTCCACAGTTTTTTATCCTTGTTTTGCACTTTATAGGTATTAATTTCCCCAAGGAGTCCCGACTGAGGGCATTTGTTTTACACCATTTCATACCTATAGTGCTTACTGTGGACTTCACTGTGCTGTATATTTCAATTTGTTATATTAGTATTCACTTTTCAATTTTGCTGCACAATAAAGTGTTCACTTTTTTAATCGAGATATTTCTTTCTCCTTCTTTGCCTTTCTTATTTTTATGGGCTTGACCCCCGTTGTTATACCCATTATTTCAGGATAGGTAAATATGAAATTTTACATCTGGTACTCTAGCACCCTCTTATGTGTGGTTTCACAAGTGCTTTTATTTAGACACTCTGTGGTGGTTGTTTACTATTAGTGATGTCGCGAACCGTTCGCGAACTTCCTGTGAACGGCTCACCGCGGTTTGCGGCGAGCTCCGGTCAGCTGACACATCCCTGCCAATCTCCAGCAGACCCTCCCTCCCAGACCCTCCTACTTCCTGGACAGCATCCATGTTGAAGGCAGCTTCAACATGGATGCTGTCCAGGAGGTGGGAGGGTCTGGGAGGGAGGGTCTGCCGGAGATTGGCAGGGATGTATCAGCTGACCGGAGCTCGCCGCGAACGGTTCGTGGCGAACCGTGGTGAGCCGTTCGCGGGAAGTTCGCGAACGGTTCGCGACATCTCTATTTACTATATTTCTAGAGGCCTCTGCACCTAGCTTACTTAGTGGTACTAATGTGTAAGAATGTGTACATAAGCACAATATTTCTAGAGGCCTCTGCACCTAGCTTACATTGGGCAGACTAGATGGGCCGAATGGTTCTTATCTGCCGTCACATTCTATGTTTCTATGTTTCTATGTTTAGTCTGTTTTCTACTAGTTTCGTTTTTAGTTCCTCTCCTAGCAACCGGACAGAGGCTCAGGGTGAGGACATTAAGTTCTCCCATATTTAATATTAGAATTTGGGTTTCCATTTGTCTCCAATAGTTGGGGGCTGTAGGAAGAAATTAGGTCTTCCCCCTCTAATATCATAGACAGGGCCCCCACCTGTGCCCAGTGATCTGTCCATCCTCTATTACTTATTTGAAAGTCCCCCACCTGTTGCTCGTATGGGGCAGAATGGGGAGGGACTATGCCCCCAACTCTTCTTTCACAGGTCCCATTCCCATGGTTTGGAGCCTTTCTAGTGATTGGACATGACAGGTGCGAACATAGAGACATTTAAACCTCATTTATGGTAATATGCAAACCTTATCGAGCCCCAGAGGGTTTTTTAATTTATTTATTTTTTACCTTTTTAATGTGATGGCTGGCTAGCATGTGCTGGCCAGCTGCCACATAATTAACTCTTGCACTGATTCAGATTTTTAACTATTTCTTTACTGGTTGCTATAAATGCCAGTGGGCATATTAAACTTAAAATGAATTAGTTGCATGAAAGCAAGTTAATGATAATTTGTGAATGAGCATCCTGCCAGATGCATTTGTTTCTGAACTTTAGTTAAGCTGGAGCTTTGTGAATGTTCTGATTTCTATACTTTGTGCAAAAACACTGATTTTAATCCAGACAAGAAGAAAAGAAAGGCTTCTGGGCGATTGTTGCAGATTCTCTCAGTCTGACTGAATTCATACCGGACTTGGCATCAGTAAATATGTGAATTTCCATTGTGGTTGGAATTTGGTAATTTTCACTGATTTTGTCCATCCGGTATTTAGTGAATAATCGTGTGTGTCTTCATTGCAACAGATTGAGCACTGCACTTCCCACACTTTGAATTGTCAGTTAGATAATTGTAACGGCACCCCCAGGCATAAAAGGGTTAAGACGCCGTTTAGTAGATCTTCCCTTCCAGAGACACAGGCACAGCTACTGCAGAACACCAATCTGCTGAACAGGAAACCATACGAATGCTGTAAACAGCCGAATAGGAAAAAACATACAAATAGGTTTACACTCCTAGCAGTCAAACTGGAACAGCACACAGTAAATCCCCCCAAGAATGAGACAAAGCTCCGTGTTGAGGGTCAAGCAGTGAACAGTCAGAGCTGTGGGTTTATTGTGCTTATGTACACATTCTTACACATTAGTACCACCCACAGGGTTTTGGAACACAACCAATAAACACATACAATACACTCAGACACTACCACACAAATTCCTCCCCTCTGCATGTGATTCAATTACCTTACACAATGGGTAATGTAATTATAACAAGCAGAGGAATACAATTTTTCCACATTATTCATAACTTGAAAAGTATGCATCACATTCACATTTTCAGAATCAGCATACTCCAAATACAAACATACGTCAAAATCATACAAATTGGTCCAGTGGTTAAAAAGATAGATCGTAGTCCTTTGTGACCACATGAAGCATGGCTTTTCTGCCCAAAACCAGTTCCACAGAGTCTTCTATCCTGGAGATAATTAGAAGTAATCCAATTATCTCCAAAGACAGAGGCAAAACTCCATTGAACACATGGCAGCAAAAGACAGTAAAATACAATAAAATACACAAGGTTACATTTATGACATAAAATACAGACATGCAACATATGCCCAGATAGCTTAGGTCTAAGTGCACATTATTACTAAATGGTGCTCAGAGCACACACATACAGTTCAATTGCCATGGAGCCAAAGTCTTTCCCATAGTCTTTCATTATACGAATGGGCTCCATGGCATAGCTATCTGGGGTATCACTGTTCAAATAGGGCAAGCACCAAATGACCCGGCTTTCTTGTCTTTGCAGGGGAAAATCAAGCCTTTTAACATGGGGCCGTAATCCCAAGGCAACAGGCGAGCAACCCGGCTTCTCCAATGCAATATGGCGAGATTGGTCTAGTCACATCTCTCCCCTTTTCCAAACAGACTAACAGGGTATCTGACCTCCTGCCGGTCAGTGCCCTTGTTAGTCCAGCAGCCCACCCACAAAACACAATCAACAGCACAGCCCACCCACAATAAATGGTTACTACACCTGGGTAGGGGAGAAGCTTGTCCATGTCCAGGTGCCTCACCACGGCTGTGCTGGGTACGGGTATACTGACTTGGTGGGTTGCTGCGTGGGCATAGACCAGCGGTACTCTGCCCTGTTGCCAGCGCTACTGGGAGGGTAGCCTGGTTGAAGCCTGGTTGTTGGAGGGGGAGACCAACTGTCTCCCCTTTAGATATACAGCCCTGCTGCTGGAGACCGACTGTCTCCCCTTTGGACACACAGCTCTGCTGCTGGAGACTGACTGTCTCCCCTTTAGATACACAGCCCTGCCGCTGGAGACCGACTGTCTCCCCTTTGGACACACAGCTCTGCTGCTGGAGACCGACTGTCTCCCCTTTGGCTAAACAGCCCTGTTGCTGGGGGGCAGAACCGACTGTCCCTACCCCCTGTGCTGGACGTGCAGAGACCACGGTCCCATCTGCACAGTTGTGGGGCTTACTGTCTCCCCTGGGTACATTAAGCTCCTGCTGGGGAGAGGGGGTAACAAGCTCCTCTCCCACATTTACTGCCAGCCGCGGGGGAGGGAGACCGACTGTCTCCCCTTTGGACACACAGCTCTGCTGCTGGAGACCGACTGTCTCCCCTTTGGCTAAACAGCCCTGTTGCTGGGGGGCAGAACTGACCATCCCTACCCCCTGTGCTGGACGTGCAGAGACCACGGTCCCATCTGCACAGTTGTGGGGCTTACTGTCTCCCCTGGGTACATTAAGCTCCTGCTTGGGAGAGGGGGTAACAAGCTCCTCTCCCACATATACTGCCAGCCGCGGGGGAGGGAGACCGACTGTCTCTGCTCCCAATACAGAGTCCTGCTGCTGGGGAAAGGAGACTGGGCTCTCTATTCCCAGTAGGACACTCTGCCGTTGGGGAATGGAGACTGGGCTCCCAATTCCCAATAAATCATTCTGCCACTGGGGAATGGAGACTGGGCCCCCAATTCCCTGCTGTATCTCCCACTGGGGAATGGAGACTGGGCTCCCAATTCCCAATAACTCAGCCTGCCGCTGGGGATCTGAGCCGACTGCCCAGCATCCCTGTAGCTCACCCTGCCGCTGGGGAGGGAGGACGCTGCTCTCCTCTCCCTGCAAGGTACACTGCCGCTGGGGGACAGGACCAACTGTCTCTGCCCCCTGTAACTCAGCCTGCCGCTGGGGAATGGAGCTCAGGCTCCCAATTCCCTGCAATATCTCCCGCAGGGGAATGGAGCTCGGGCTCCCAATTCCCTGCAATATCGGTGGAGAGACCTCGGCCCCATCTCCACCCGCCACCTGGGGTTCTTCCCAGTAAAACTCAACGATGTCTTCCCAGCTGAATGGGTCTGGAACTGGATCTGTCACCTTGCTGTCCTGCTGAGCTTTCTCAATGGAGTGGAAGAGATCTTGGTAGTCCTGCTCCAGTTCCCACTCCAGGGTTGCTAGGTGACCAGGTCTTGCTCAATGTCGTGAGTGTCGTCCCAGTCATACCTGCTCTCCCTCCACTCCAAGAGATCACTGAACCGGGCTTGTGTAGGGCTCCCAAAAGGCTCCCTCCCATAACAAGCCAGGACCATCAAACTCCTCTCCCTCTGGCTTGTCATGCTCGGCTGTCCAGGGCAGGTACTGTGCCCCATACCACCAGAGCGCCTGGTAGGCATCTTCCAGCCAAATCTCCTGCCATACCCGGTGCTCCAATTCCTTCACCCATTCATCCAGGGGCTGCTCTCCCAGGAAGGGCATCCGCAGGGCCACTTGCTTCTTCAACCGCTGCTCTTCATTGGGGAGACTCTCGCCCCGCTGGTATTGTACATTATCCAGGGCCTGGTACCAGATGCCTTTCCTTAATGCATCATGGCCATCCAGGTCCTCCTCCTCGTATGACACTGCTGGTTCCACTGGCGTACATACCAGGGTAGCAGGGGTCGCGACTGCGACCGGGCCCGGCCCACCAGGGGGCCCGGCCGCCCCTGCGACCCGGTATGTACGCCCAGGGCCAGCCTCTTCCCCTGGGGGGCCCAGGAGCCGACCACCCCAGGGCCCCCCTGAGGCTGGCCCTGCTGACCCCTGAGTGGCTGTGGTCGGGGCAGGCAGAAGCGAGGCGCTGAGAGCACTCAGTGCTTCCTCTTCCAGCTCCTCAGCGCACGCAATGATGCAGGAGCAGGAAGATGATCATCTTCGGCTATCAGCGGCAGGAGCTGAAGAGGAAGCACTGAGTGCTCCCTCGCGCGCCTGCCTTCCTGCCCGACCGGCCACCCGCCCAGGAGCCCCACTGGACCCCAGGGAATAATCCCCCCCAGCACTCCAAAAGGTAAGGAGGCTGGGGGGATTATATAAAAAAAAAAAATCATGTGTGAGTGTTAGTGTGTGTGTGTGAGTGTTAGAGTGAGTGTTAGAGTGAGTGTGAGTGTTAGTGTGAGTGTTAGAGTGAGTGTTAGAGTGAGTGTTAGTGTGTGTGTTAGTGTGTGTGAGTGTTAGAGTGAGTGTTAGTGTGTGTCTGCTAGTGAGTGTTAATGTGAGTGTTAGTGTGTTAGTGTGTGTGTCTGCTAGTGAGTGTCAGTGAGTGTGTTACTGTGTGTGTCTTACTGTGTGTGTGTTAGTGAGTCTGTTTGATGTCTGTTAGTGAGTGT